GCTTTCCTTTTTGCCCAAAAGCCCTCTTTTATGGTTGTTTTCTTCAGAATTAAGGAATGCAAGTATCTTCTTAGCTTTTAGGCAAAAATAATAAATACGAAATGTAAATTGCGTGGTAATTTTAGCCACAGAAAAAAATCGACAAATATAAATTTCGATTACTTAAGTATTTAACTTATAAATATTTTGTCACATTCACAACCAATATGCCGCCCTTTAGACTTGCCGCCCCGGTAGTTGTGGGCAGACAATTCTATTTATAATGATGTTTTTTAATCAGTGGCGTGCCGTCATTGGAAGCGGTGGATGCGCCGCTTTCCTTGTATTTTCTAAAAAATAAATACATATTAATTTTAATTATATGAAAATAATCGCACAACATTTTATTATAACCGCATTATGTATCTTATTACAAATTTCTATACTACACGGGGAAAAAAAATAAGATCGCTATTGCATATTCGAATATTAGTAGCGGAGTAGCAGAGTGGAAACGCTGTATTGTCAGCATCCAAAAAGCCATATTCGCGTACGCGCTTTACAGAGCACCAACTTCACCCAGTTTAGCCGGTGGAAGCCTAGGACCTCGGGTGGCTGCTACACGTATACCGCATCCAATTCTATCCTGGACCGGTTCTGGGCTGTTAGCCGCCCGCCCGCTAGATATTTGACCGCCCTCGCCCGATTACGTGAATCACGAGTAGATTTATAACTTAACCCAACCGATAAGAATTTACTGATATGTTTTTATGATAGTTTTCTGTATAGTTGACGAGAGTTTTAAAAAATCCATTAAAATATTTGATATTTTTATTCCGCTCTCCGATTTTATATTACTCGCGGATTTCAATGTTAAACCAGTGATATTACGATTTCGTATGCCCCATCTTTAAGGGGATGTAGAAAAAAACGTGTACAATTCTTGTATAATGTTTAAAAATTAACTGTTAGTTTGGTAGCATCATTTACAACTAAATTTTTCTGCACGAGGTGCAGAAAAGCTCTAGAATTTATTTTCCTTAAATTTACGATTTATGTATCCGTTTGTCATAAAAATTTATCTTTCCACTTTTTTCCCGAGACTACAAATATTCGAGTACAAAGTAACCGGTTTCGACTTATTTCTATTTAAGAAGTAGTTAAATAATTAAGCGATTAGGGAATTGGGGACATAAACAAAACCCTGATGAAAGAGCCAAAATTTTACTTAAACAAAAGCTTAACCGAACCAATCTCTAGCCGAGTACAGTGGGACTGATTTCCTCGAAATATTAGACGTAAGAAAGACAAAAATTTTTCCAGTTCAACGAGAGTGACCGAAAAGTTGTAAATTTTGGAAATTTCCGTGGACAACACCTGGTCCTAAAACGAATTAGTTAGAAAACAAAAGAC